CCGTACCTGAACTTCAGCGGTGTATTCTTCATGTTCGCTGGACTCACACTACTATGCGGCCTGTTCATCTACTTCTACTGCCCAAAAACCAAGGGCATTCTACTTGAGGACATCGAGACACTCTTCAGCCGCAGTAACCACACGGCTACGTCACCGTCCTACGGCGCGGTCAAGACCCCTGTGGCTGCTACCGACAAGAGCCCAGTTGCCATGGCCTAAGATTTTTAAAACCTGTCAATCAATTTACTACAACTGCGAATTTGTCGAAAGCTGTGATGCTACTATTGTAGTATTAAATCCTGTAGTAGTAGTATTTCAAGCTGTCGAACTAAAGACACAATTCTGTAGAATAGCAACTACTACCGAAAATAGTAAATTGAGCTCTCAGGTAGTAATTTAGAGGCCTTTTGCGTTAAATATACTTTTAATACCAAAATGCTAAGCTTTTGAGCACAGAGCCTTTGGTTTGCAAGAAAGAAACGGGTGCATATCGGCAATGAACAAAAATAATAATTGTGGAAGAGGAATATCTAGATACCAAATCTGTTTTAATTTGTACCAATTTATTTTTTCAAGCACTGGAAGCCTACCGTCTTACCCCGCATATAAGGCATATGTGCTATAAATAAATACAACACTGCTTGTGTGTTATATTCGTTTAGAAAGCCTATGTGTTGTACAGCGAACAAATTATTTGACTTTGAAGAATGGGTCCTAGAATCTTGCTTGGTCGCTGAGGCTTGACCCTCCTACGCGATCGGTTAGGGTTCAAACCCTCCTGCGTGCAGTTCACATGATGTGGTGATTGGTAACGGGTCTTCTCTTTCTGTTGTGGCTGCGTTGTATACGGAGGTTTTGCTTGTTAGTATTATGAATTCTATAAAAAAAAATCTGTTTATAAGAATCGTTTGCATGAATTACATGTAATCACGTGTATTATACTTAAGTACTATGTATCCATCTACTTTCACTGCAAAATATGATCCGGAGCGAACCAAGCACAGCGTTTTCAGAGGATTTTCAACCGTGTGCGAGAATTTGAACACCAGCTTATTGTCCTTGTCAACAGTACTTACCTATAGCTACGTCGCTCAGCACTCATGGCTGTGTAAATTATAAAATAAGAGAATTAAAGCCAAGTAACAGCAGCACCGACAAGTTTGTTGAGAAGGGTGGTTAGTTGGAGCTCTCAAGAATATTCATTGGTTGGTACAGCCTTGTGTTGTAACTAGGTTTCAGCCACATGTGTTCTAATTAGGTAGGTGGTCAAATTGAGGTTTAAGCTAGATGTCGAGCGAATCCCGTATTTTATTTAGAGCACATATGCCTTATATGTGGGGTAAGACGGTAGTACATGTATTAGTACTGTTGATGCTACATGATCTTACTCCCAGATTTGCTTGCGCATGTATAATACATTGTATTAGTATTGTTGAATCAACAGTGTTGATGCTACATTATCTTACTTCCTAATTTGCTTGCGCTTGCCCGTCCTGGTTAACGAAGGCTGTCGGAGCTCTCCGTTGCTGTAGCTCCGCGACGTCTTGTCCTCTAAACCTATATCGAAGCTCCAGCTTCCACTTAGGACTATTCGCTGTAGCAGCTTCAGCTCTTTCGCTATCTTGAAGCGGCATAATTTTTGTAACACGCCACGTCACCAATCAGACACTCCTCGGAAATCCTTGCTCCGTCGAATACGGCGCATAACTCGCGCGAATCCCAAAGTAATCGTGCAAACACCTCGAGAAAGTCTACTTCAAAGTCGAACGAAACGACGTAGTGACTCTGCGTGTTGAAGGTGAAGTCGATCCTCCCAACACCATTGCACACACGCCCCAGCAGCTTCGCCGTGATGCGTGGGTATTGACGCAGTACTTTAGGGAAAATGACCTCCAGAGTGTCTCGCGTTACCACGTGCCTATAACTGGCGTAGGACGTCACAATCGTCCGTCCTTCCGCCGATACAACTTGAGACCGCAAGTAGTGAAATTCGAGCTCCGAAAGATCTTTCGTGTACTGTTCCCATTGATGCAGCATCACTCCACGTCCGTTGAAGTCACCGATACGCAGGTTCTCGTCCATGACTTGGATAACGAATTGGTTAGGGTCAAGCAAGGCGCCCGGGTGATAACCGTTCTCAAACACGCGGTGGTACTCTTGCACTGTCTTGACGTAGTAGCCATCCAGTGCATCCCGACGATTGAAAGTCCGTGCACTAAGTATTTGCTGGTATTCAGTCAGTCGTTGGATTTCCTGTCGAAGATCCATGACGTCCAGCTCCAGGTTATAAAGCTGCGAGGCTTGAGAATCTCGCGTCCGCCCCTTGAGCTTTTTGCGTTGATCGGGAGCTCTTCTCGCAGCGGCGAGTGCTGCGACGGCAGGAACACGCGGAGCTAGCACGGGTCGATACCGTACTGGTGTTACGCCAAAGGTTTCGAAAACCGAAATGATCGTGTTCATTGTTGTCGGGCGAGATATTGTGAATGTCTGGCGAATTCACAACTGACTGAGTCATGTGAATATTTGTCGCCGGTCGGTCGAGTTGCTATTCGATTGTTGGCTTCGGGCGTTTTTTGTTTCGCTCATTCACCACTACAGTTTAAAGTTTGCGGAGATTTTTTATGGGGTGTCCAGAAACCCCACTACTAATAACGCCGCTTTCTGCAGTTGAAACGTACTTGTACAAAAGTTGAACTTACCAAATACAAATACTTTGGCGCAATCTTCTGGACTCTCCTTTTCTATCCGGTCGTAAACTTATCAATTGGAAGCTTATTAGTCGGTAATAAAAGAAAAGTATTTTGTTGTTGTTGTCAATGAGATCAGTTGTTCGTTTTTTATTGGAGCATAGGTATCATTTACCGGTAGCTAACTACCATGAATAAACCACAAAAGACCGAGCAGAATACTCTATTTCTATTTCATTTCAAATTAAAAGAGCATGATAAATATATAAAGCTTGTTGCAGTTTTTTTTAATTAGTTTGAAGAAAACAACCAAAATAAAAACGCTGGGACCAGTAGGAATGCCTCATTCTTGTCACTTCAACATGGCACAGCGCGAGTTCATCTCTACCGGTATCACTGGCATTCTCGTCAAATATATTACTTTTATGGATAGACATTTTGTTAGTGCTGTATGTGAGCTTGGCCGCATTCGTCTCAGCGTGAAGATCAGTATTCGCCGCTCATTCGCGTTGGTTGCTCACGAGCAGCGAACACGCCTTAGCCATACCACTGGTATTACCAGTGTTCTTTTATCATTCATCCATTATTACATGGACGTCGCAACAGCGAAGTTTACGCTGAACACACGCTCTTGTCCCGTGTCTCACTACAGTTACGGACCAGCGTGGTACAACAGGTGTGTAATGAAAAAATCACCTCAACTTGGACGGAATCGTTGGAATTCGTCTCTGATTTCTGCAAGGGAAAACGCGCGTGACCCACAAAAAAGACTTCCACTTCATGACACGATGCTCCTACTCCCAAATCTCCTTGCGTCTGCCCGTCCTATTAGTCAACGAAGGCTGTCGCCACTCTTCGTCGCTATGCCCTGAAGGCGTCTTATCCTCTAAATCTGTATCGAAACTGGCCTCTGTCTTTTTCTCAACTTTAGCTGTCGCAATTGTACCAGCGTTTGGACTCGACGTGACCTCCCCGTAGCCGGTAACGTCCCCGATCAGACATTCCTCGGTGATCCTTGCTCCTTTGAAAATGGCACAAAGATCGCGCGGGTCCTGAAGCAAACGAGAAAACTCTTCGAGGAAGTCTAGTTCGAAGTCAAACGAGATAATGTTGTGCGTCTGCGTGTCAAAGACGAAGTCAAACTTGCCGACGCCTTTGAACACACGCCCCAACATCTTCGTCACAATGCGTGGATATTGTCGTAGTGCTTCAGGGAACATGACTTCCACAGTGCCTCGTGTTACGATGTGTTTGTAGCTGGCATAGGACGTGACGACCGTGCGTCCTTCCATCGAGAGGACTTGAGAGCGCAGGTAGTGAAATTCGAGGCCGGAGAGCGCCTTTGTGTATTGTTCCCACTGATGCAGCATCACGCCACGTCCGCTAAACCCACCGATACTCAGGTTCTCGTCCATAGTTTGCATAACATACTGAGTCGCATCAAGCGGGGTGCCTGGACGATAGCCGTTCTCAAATACACGGTGGTACTCTTGCACTGTCTTGACGTAGTAGCCATCCAACGCATCACGACGATTGAAAGTGCGGGCGTCGAGAATTTGTTGATACTCTGCCAAGCGTTGAATTTCCTGTTGAAGATGCATGACGTCCAGCTCCAAGTTGTAGAGCTGCGAAGCCTGGGAATCGCGCGTCCGCCATTTGAGCTTCTTGCGTCGATTGGGGGCTCTTCTCTCTGCGGCGAGTGCTGTGACGGCTGGTACTCGCGGTGCGAGAACAGGTCGAGATCGTACTGGAGTCACGTCGAAGGTATCGGCTATGGCATTGAACGGGCTTGGCGAGATGTCGTGTACCTTTGGCGAATTCTCGACTGATTGTTTTCTGTCGGAGGTCGGTTGAGTTGCCATTCGACTGTTAGCTTCGGGCGTTTTCTGTTTCGGTCGCTTACGTCCCATCGCCAGCATATGAAGTTGCGGCACGCAAATACCTAGGGGAAGTACAGAGCACACCTTTCGAATGAGAAGCACGAAATACTCTCTGGATTTAGTACTGAAATGGTTGCATCGTGATGGGCCCCGATTGTCAAGAGGATCAGCGCCACACACCAGTTAACCTACTGTCGCGAGGACACCTACGGTATGATAGGACGGGGAATTCAGGTCCAGCGGGTACAAGTGCAAATTTCACTACAAGGATCAAACATCTATATATCTCAGACAGCATTAAAAAGAATTGCTCGGGTTGGAAGTTGGGGCCTAAAGCACATGATTCGAGGCGCAACTTGAAAAAGTGCTGAATTCCTTTTGGTAAGCTCCAGACAATCAAAGCTAGAAGACGTGGTTGTGACATCCTCGTTCCATAATAAAAAGACTGACTGGAGAACCAATTAGCTTGGGGGATTTGCGAACGCGACAAACCGGTAGCTTACTGCCACAAGTTGCAGGGTTTGAAGACCAGAACACCACGAGTGCTGTGCCAATCGACTGAACTCAGTCGGGCCTGGGTCCTTAGCTTTATCTTCTTGTTCGCGCGTGACCAGTCGGACAAAGATGTAGCAGCGAAAGCTGGGCCCAGTGTGCTGAACCGATTGCATTTTTGCAAGCGGCGGACTCTACTTGTGTACGGGGGAATATAATAGCAATGTCCGCGTAAGGGGCAGGTGTAGAAGTTTATTTCCTACACAACCGGTGGGTAACCCATCGGGCTGTAAGCTTCACGCCACAAACAGAATATGCCACAGTGTCCACAGGGCGGCTGTTCGCTCCACAAGGTTAGCGCCTGTCGCCAGAGACACGGAAAAACTTCCTGCACGCATTTTCGGACCGATGGTATCAACATTCACGTCTCAGTAACGACACCAAATGTGGATCGGCGATTCATCGTTCCGGTTAAGGTTTGGACATGAAGCAAATCGATGGGTCAGGGGCCCGAAGAGCTCCCTTAATAAAACTCTTTATTATGAAGAGCATCGTGGGCCAGTCTTTTCGGCGTTCGCAAATATCACACCGCACAACTCGTCAACCATTCTGTTCAGTATGCTTCATGTATTGATTTTAATTAATAGCTGAACTATTTATAAAAAATGACCAAAATGGATTCCCACAGCTCAGATTGCCGTCTCAGGCCCTAAATCTGAGACGTCGTCCCAGAATCTACTCCACAGATAGCTGAGCTAAGGTGCCTTCCAGATTATGAAGGAAGAGGGCACTCGGTGCTCCTACTTGATCTCGCCGTCATCGCGGCAACAAAGGACCAGCTCATTATTTTAATAGAGCTGATCTTGCCCCGTTACGTATTGAAACTGCGGACAAAGTTTCTCAAAATTTTAGCGTAGCGCAGATTGCCCAGGTTCCTAGGCGTACTACTAATGAACTGCGCTACGCTAAAATTTCATGGAAACACCTACTGGTCACCATGAAGGCGTTTTCTGACTTTTTCTATGCTGAAAAGGCAAACTCGAGGTTTCCATGAAAATGTACTGAGCTCGCAACTTGCGACTGTCACGAACGCTCATTCTGAATCTGGCAAAGAGTTGCACGTGGCCATGAAGATTCACTGCGCTGTGTTGGCTGCCGCGTCGCTGTTGGCGGCGCTACCGACGAGTGCAAGCTCAGAGATGGCAGCTCCCATCCGGGTGGCGACTACCGAAAAGCGGCTCTATCTTCGTCGATCTCTGTCGGATACGACGACTGGAGAAGAGGAAAATGGCATCAACAATAACGAGTCGAGCGCCTTGAATGAGGCAGAGGAAGGATTTGAGGAAGAAAAGAACCTGCAAACGCAAGCTCCAACTACAGACACTAAATTCAAATCCGAAGAAGAGGTTTTCGATGAATTGGAAGAGAACATTGAAATTACACCGACTAATCCACAAGAAACGTCGGACGAGGTTGAAGAAGAAGAACTCGACGAGGAAAACGAGAACTTGACATCGACGTCGACGAGCTCGTCTAACGAGTCATCTGTCGATGTGGGTGACGCTGAAGAAGAAGACCAAAGCCCTCAAACCCCCGAAGTAATTACCACAACAGCGGTTAATCTAGATGAGGTGGTTGATGAAGCTATGCGAGAAGAGAAAAGTACCGAAGCCCCGATAAATTTATCAACGACGACTGTTGCTGAAGCAAAGACGAAATCTGAAGGCAAGAGCGTGCAAACGTCGTCTAGTTGCTCACGGGCGGAGCCGGTCTCTTCTACCGAGGCACCAGTTGAGGTGCCTGACACTGAGAATGAAGAAGAATCTGAGGAAGATGAGCAAAACACTGAAAACCTCACGACGAATCTAAAAACTGAGACCCCGACGTTCGCTGAAGCCGAGGAACAAGCGTGCGGGACCGAAGACCAGAGCGTGCGAACCCCTTCTGTTGGGAGTTGTGGCTCTTAGACACGCCCCGCGAAGTAACAAACAAACTCCTTGTTTGCAAAGGGAAAATATGAAGACTGAATTACTTTGTGTCAGTTGCTCTGCTTCCTGAGCATTGACCAACACTCACGGGTCTTTGCCCTCTCTCATATAACGATCTGGTTTCTTTGCTGTTCCAGCTTTCTTCAATCTGCGCCAGGCCTCGATGCACAATCCAACACGCCCTTCTCGAAGAGTGGTCTTCGATGTCGAATACTGGTCTTCGACTACTTTTCTGCTCCAATGCCTGCAATCAGCAACAATCCTTTCAGTCGCTTCTTGTCCAGAGGCTTGGTGAACGTGTCGGCAGGGTTTGTTTCCCCCCTCACCTTATGCAACTCCACAGTGCCTTTTTGCACTTGCTCTCGTACGTAATGCCACCGTAATTCAATGTGGCGCGTACGTCTGCTGTAGGTAGGATTAGTTGCCATCACGTGAGCAGCTTGACTGTCAATTCCTATACGCAATTTCACATCGTGCTGCGGTAACATCTCTTGCAAAACATTTTTCCCAGCAACTGCCTCCATTGTGGCTTCACACGCTGCAATGTACTCCGCCTCCGCGGTCGACAAAGCGATGACGGATTGTCTTCGTGACATCCATGCTACAGCTCCGCCTGCCAGCATAAACACGAAACCAGTAGTGCTCTTCCTTTGATCTGGGTCATTAGCCCAATCACTGTCACAGTAACCCTGCAACACCAACTCCTTCGAGTTGTTCTTCTTTTTCTCGTACTTGATTCCATAATCCAAGGTCCCGGCCAAGTAGCGCAGCACTCTCTTTACCGTTCCAATATGCTTCGCCGATGGGTTCGCTACGAAGCGACTCAGTTGGCCTAATGAATAAGCCAAGTCCGGTCTGGTACTTGTAGCCAGGTACATGAGCATACCAATGGCTTCACGGTACGGAAAGCTGCCGTCTGCACTCTCCTTCTCTCCAAGAGGTGTGAGCCGTGAATTTACTTCCATTGGATTTCCTACTGCATGTGCATTTTCAAATCCCAGCTTGCCAAGAATCTCTCTTGCGTACTTGCCTTGACTGATCATAATGTACTCTGGCGTGTGAGTCACTTCCACACCTAAGTACTGTGTTAACAGCCCTTGGTCCTTGAGACCGTACGTGTTGTCCAAGTCCATGAACAACTGATCTTTGTACTCCTTGCTGTTTGTTGCAACCAAGATATCATCGACGTATACTAGCACGTATACCATCGTGCCACCATCAAACAGGTAGTACAGGCACGGCTCCGTCAACGATCTTTGGTATCCACGCTGAATGAACCAATCATTTAGTTCTGAATTCCATTCTCGACCCGATTGTCTTAATCCATACAAAGCCTTGAGTACCACGTAAGAATGGCCACTCACTCTGCACGGATATCCGTTGATGGAGTGTAGATATTGTCGTATGCCTAGCCATGCATTGAGGTAAGCGGTATTCACGTCTCCTCCGTATACCTCTAATCCCAGTAATGCCGCCAGTCCCAACAACAGTCTAAACGAAGCCATTCTTGCCACAGGGGCAAACGTTTCCTTGAAGTCAATGCCTGGTCGCTGCTGATTCCCCAACGCCACTTTCCGAGCCTTGAATCTTATCACGTAACCCTGATGATCCGACCTCAAGGCATAGACCCACATTGTACTCACAGGCTTCGCATCTTTGGGCATGTCCTCATCCGGTATTTCTTGGATGACCTTCTTTGCCTTCAGTGCAGCGATCTCTACCATTTCTGCTTCCATCCAATAGTTAACAAACCTGGATCGCAGTGCCTCACGTCTGTTACGAGGAATCTTCACCTCACAAGCACGAATAGGCCGGCCATGCTCATCCAGAACCCGTGAAGTCGCTGCATTCATCACAAAGTCATCAAAGCGTCGAGGTTGACGTCTTTCTTGTACCTCTCGAAGTCCTGTTCGAGTTCTCTTGGTATCTGGCTTTGCGGCCTCGTGTTCCACACGAGCCTCTTCCGACTGAGTTTCATCGCGGTGGGTACGCTTTCCAGTTTCTCGAATGACAACTGGATCAAGACAAACACTAGCGTCCATCTTCTGCGCGTTATTATTGTCCACAACCGCACTTTGATGTTCATCAGTACTCTCTGGGTCTTCTTCAAGCCCCACACCACTCGACGAGTTGTTATTCTCCATTGAGATAGTCTTCTCATCAAATGAGAACACACTTGCTACAGTAATGTCGTCGTCTGTCGGTAATCCTGCTTCGTTGTCATCATCCACCTCATTACCATCCAGCGATGAGCCCCGTGTTCCCACCACAGACTCAACGTCAGCACCATCATTTTGCGTAGATGATTCCGACTGCTTGCCACCAACACAGAGATTTCCTGAGCTACTTGCCTTAATCTCGCTCCTTGGAATGCTAGTAGTAAGATTACATGCGCTCGAAGCTGCATCAGTGAGTGATACTCCGCCATGGCCATCACTCTCGTGTAGATCCGCTCTACCGAGCTCTCTCGTGCTTTCAATCTCATCTGGTCGATTATTTAGAGCATTTGAGACATCATCTGCCATCTGAACGCCCTTCTCGTGCTCACTGTTAGCCGCTACATCCACCTCGCCTCCCACGAGTCCAATAGACAACTCAGAATTTGGCTCGCTAACCAGCTCCATTGTCTTGGATGTAGCCATTTCGTGGTTCAAACGGTTGTCATAGTCCACATCCTGGTCATCACGTCGGGTAAAGTGCAGTGACTCGAGGTCCTCCTCATCTACAGCACCTTCGTGACGGTCTTTGTAAACTACATCTTCAGCAACCCGTAGATCAGATACAAACCTGGCGGTGTGCTCATCAGGAAAGTAAACTTTGCAGCCTACCACGTCCTCTTCGTAACCGAGTAGAAAGCCAATCTTGGCGTTGTTATCATGCTTGCGTCTTCCAGACGTCACAGGAACATGAACATATGCTAGAGATCCAAACTTCCTAATGTGATGCACGTCAGGTTTCATTCCAAATATCATCTCATAAGGAATTCCTTGAGTGCCACGGTTGTATACCCTATTCTTGACGTATACAGCATTTCGTAGTGCTTCCGGCCATAGACTCCGAGGAAAGCCTGCATGTACCATCGTGGTTTTCATCATGTCCACCAATGACTGATGCGTTCGTTCGCACAAGTTCAATTGAGAACTTTTTGGACCCACTCGGATGTGCTCAATTCCTCTCCGTGCGTACCAGTTTTCCATACCTTTGTTGATGAACTCCCCACCTTTGTCTGTCAGTACTTGCTTCACTTTGTAGACAGCCCCGTTCACATTTCGTCCTGCTTGACGCTCGGCCCAGAGTATGTACTGTTGCAAGTGCTTGTTTACAACTGAACTCTCTTTACTAGTCAACAGAAACACTCTCACGAATCTGGAGTATCCATCCATAACCACTAGTACGGCTTCATACCGAGTCCGATTATCTTTACTTGGAATGAGAAGGTCAGCGTACACAACTTGATTCGGCCACTTTGTTGCCCTGTCCATCTTCTTGCGATGAGCCTTCTTCTTTTGCTTCCCCACATGACATGCGTCACAGATCTGCTGGTGACGCTGAGTCAACATCATGCCTCTCACTAATCCCCGGTCTACCATCGTCTTCAGATATTGTGGACAAGTATGACACATACGCTCGTGCCACAATGCCAAAGTGCCAACCCCTTCGGCTATAGTAAAATTTACCATTGGACGCCGATTAACAGGCTCTTTCACGCTTGTTTGACCTGGATGTAGTCCCAGAAACCCCCAAGTTGCTTCCTGAGGCTTCGCCACTGCTACTGATTTCCCTTCCCAAAGAATAGTAAAGTCCTGAGTATCATGATTGAACGTAAAGTCAAACCCTTGTTCATGAGCAAGTCCGGGAGAGAAGAGCCCGAATTCAGCTCCGGGTATGTAGAAAACATCATCCGGACACATTACTGTCTGCTCTCCATTCACCTCAGTAGTTAAGGCAACAGTCCCCATCCCAGCGATACGAGCTGCAATGTTTGGGGAAATACCTCGAATGCTGCGTAGTTGTGACGCGTCCTCAGTGTAGCTCACAAAATACGAGCGATCTCCGACCACGTGAGAGTTCGAAGCTGTGTCAAAATACCACCAACCGCTAAAGTTTTCATCGACAGGTACTTGATCATTAACTTCCAGAAGCTTCTCATCTACTCCTGTTCCCTGAGCATCGTACAGAGTCTCGTGCAGAGTCTCGTGCTCATGATGAGCCTCAGCCGTTATTAATCCCGTCACTATCCCCTGATCTGCAGGTTCATGCAGTATCTGTGACAGTCCATTTCCTTCTTGGCTGAGTGTCAGATTTCCTTGTGGTTTCCGCTTGGGTTCACTGTTACTCCCAGCACCACTCTTGTTCTCTTGACTGATCGTCAAGTTTCCTGCGATTTAGCTGTCTCTCTGTCTCCAGCACCGCTGTTCTTTTCTTCACGCTCCGGACACTTGGCCTTAATATGGCTATCACTCCCGCAGACAAAGCACAGCCTGGCTTTTCGCTGTTTACTTGACTTGTTCTGCTGATTACCATTTCCGCCTTTTTCCGGATCACCACTTTTATCACCTCCGCTTTTATGCCCTCCTTGCTTTCCTTGACGCTTGCCTCTGAATTCCTTCTGTCGAGCAGCGGCTGCAAGAATTAATTCACGAACCCGTACCGGTGTATACACACTTGGGTCCGCGCCATAGCGGATCGAAGATTTCAGACATTCAAACTCGGTCAAATCTGGCAAACTTTCCAACAACATATCCACCATTGTACTGTCTTCAATAGTATGCTGTAAGCCTACCAACTCCGATTTGATGCTGAACATCTTGCAAAGATGGAGATTTGCATCTCCTCCAGAAGCGAGCTTCTTATCCCAGAGATCATTCTCCAAGCGACGAATCGTGTAGGCCTTGATAGCTTCATTCTGCTTTCCTTCAAACAGATTACAGAGCTCTGCCCACATTTCCGATCCGGTCTCCTTGTCGCGAATCTGCTGA